AATAATGGGTATTGTTTTTATAATGTTCCGCTTGTACCATTCGGATCTGAGAAATACGATGCGAAGAAAGTAATGAATAAATGGAGCATAATAATGGATTTGTTCCATCGAAGGTGGTAAGAGATTATTAAGACGGAAATGAAATGGCCACTTATGATTTCCATTTGATAGAAAAAAACTTTTCTGGTTACTAACAGAATGTAGATTGAGCCGTTGTTTGAAGAATGCATATTTAAAGGTAGATTTCATCCCTTTATATCCGGGCGCTGCGGTGACAAGCTCACCGATCAGTTCTGCATAGATACTGTTCAATTTCAATTTCTTGTGATCATAATTGGTAAATTCGATCGTGCCCGAAACAAGTTCACCAGGCCAAAAAAAACTCTGATTTTTCTCAGCGAATCGACATATGATCTTTGATTCTAATCTACCGCTACTCGATCCTATTAATATCAACATTAGAAACAAATATTGATAGGTACCACTTCGAATCGAGTATAAGAGATTGAAATGCAAATAAGGAAGACAATATTGACTCTTCATCGATTCTAGCTGCCACACAATAGAAGAAAAGTTACAAAATGATGAGTTAATTCTATGTATAGATGAAAATGTCGATAAGGAAAAGGTCGACAGTGTTGAAAATGGCAAAAATATGTATTGATTGCGAACAAACATTTTAACTTAAAATTTCAACGAGCAAAATATCAAAGGAGTAAAGGCTCGCAAATTAGAAGCATTGAAAAAAATGTCGAAAAGTAAATATATTGGATATGCAATGAGACTATGAGATTTTCCAATGCTGCATTTTCTATCAATTTATTCTGTTAAATAGAAGAAAATTAAGACTTTTGTATTGTTCTTGAGTGCAAGAATAAAAAAAGATGGGGTAATCGAGTTTTAACCGTCAGCTCCATCCACTCACACATCATCAACCATGTGAGTTATTTAAACTATTATTTCTGTTTTTGAATACCCATTGAAATGAATATGGCCATTCTATCGTAGTCTAATCTGTGTTTTCATTGATTGTGCTCCGTAATTTTCACTTTTGACTTTGAGTCGATTAAGCGATTACTATATCGAATGAAATTCTGAGCAGAGAAGATTCTTTTGTGGAACTCACATATATTTTTCGAAGAAAATAGTGAGTGTAAGTTTTAAGGGCAAGTTTTCGCGATTCTCCCCTCTCCATTAGAGACACTTAACAATTCAGGCCTCCCATCACAGACCTTAGTAAGTAAGAATAACAGACGTCAGACTTTCGAGTTTTTTTGAAAAATTGATCAAGTTATAATTTTGAAAGGTAATCAATTTCATTATTTTTGAGCTAATTAATATATAGATATATAATAGTGAGTAAGATTTTCTGTAGATATCATGGATATGTAAAGCAGATTTATTTGTCAAATAAGTCAATGATTATAATAATAAGAATGTTGAATTATGAAAAACAAATTTAAAAAAATGAGAAGTAATGAGTGAATAGCAATAGTGCAAAATAAAAATAGGATCCCCGTAATAAAAAAAACATTTCTATTCGAAATGCAGAAATTAGAAAAGTTCTTACTTTAATTTTCGATTATCCTACATAACAACTATCGTCTATGAGAGGTTTCTCATTTTACATATTTTGTATTAGAATATTAAAGTTGAAGGATATATGTGAGTTTCACATTTCAGCTTTAAAGGAGCAGCGCTAACAAGCTTTTCATACATCATTTATCTAAAAATCTTTCTTCAGAACAAATACATCGACACTTTGTATGATAAAATAGAGACATTTGTCTTCTATCAGGAACTAATCGAATTTCAATGTTTTCTATTTCATCCTTTGAGAAAAACAAATAACAATAAATTTTGTTTTTGTGTAAGTCCATATCATATTCTTATGTGTTCTTAGCTATAAGAGCAGTTTTTATCGCCTTATATTAGAGAAATATTTGTCGAACATGAGATGTAAGTTCTTTTTTTTTCATGTGTAGTACTTGCATATGTTGATGAGTTTCAGCGTGTTTTCGGCTAGAATCACTTGTCGACATTGAAACATTTCTACTTTTTAATTTGCTCTCCTGCTAATTTGACTACAACATTCAACGATATATTGATCACATATGGGCCTTCAACAATGTTGATTATCATTTCGATGAGCAAGTTATGGATGTGGGTATTCATTTTGCTGAAGAGAAAACTCATACCCACACCCTATTTATACTATCGATCGCTTACTTAAGGTATCGTTGCGACCGTCATGTTCTGCTGTGATATGAGATTAGTAGTACAGAGGCGGCAGAACTACTCTAATTTAGGGGAGGCTAAAAACTTTTCAGGCAGTAATGGGAGATTGAGGTGAACGGGAAGGGGCGATATTATACCTTTTCAACTCTAACTCATATTAAACAGATATCAGTTGTCCCGATATGTTTTCATCAGGGTTTATTTCGTATATATTTTTTTGTATAGGCAAACCATGTAATCTTGAAATTTCGTCAAAAGATTCGCTGTTATATTTGCGAATCTTCCGTGATTTATCTTTTTTTTAGTATTTACTAGATTCATTCAACAAACGGAATTCGTCTGTTTGATAGCACAGAATACAATTTAATTATGTTTAAAAAGTATATGATCTGAAAGAGTGATCTTTCACCTTCAACCAAGCATCTGCCTTTGCATCAATTTCTTGCATTTGACGATGAAATGAGTACGAAGACTTACAGAAAAATTTCGAAAGAATGATTCGTAGAAGTTGCTGAATGCTTTAAGACAACCGCATCACAAGGACCTGTTGAGTTGTTCTGAAAAGTTTTTAGAAAAGCGAAAGAAAGGATGTATGAAGTATTGTTACTGTCCATTATATTGGAAGTAATTAATACATCTCTAATGTATCTATTTCTTATTAGTCTCCACACAAAAATTCTGGAAACTTGAATGTTTTTTAAAGAAACAAAATGTCCTCTAGACTAGCTTAATCAATTTTGATCAGGATTAAATCAACGACTTACAAGATGCTACAATTTTTCATTCTTCTCAGTTTACTTTGCTCCTCTATTTTACCGATGAAGCGCCTAATTGTTCACTTTTGATTCTTTAACGACGACTTTTGAACAGGAAACAAATTACTTTGGTAGTATCATTTTACTCAATAATGCTTTTTTATATACAAAAGTTGACTTTAATAATTATTAAACCATTTTTGGAGCGTTTATTCTACTGCTATGTTGAAAAATTCCAGTGTCTCGTACATCTTTAGTTTTTTCTCTCTCTAAATCGATTACAGTATGGCGAGAGAACATTTTTCTCTGGATATTGTCGAGAGTTTAATGGTACACCTTTAAAAGCGATTCAAGTTTTTATCAATTTTCCATGCAAAGATAAATGAAAAACAGATATTATTTCAAATATGTTTGTTAACTCCAATATAATCTGAAGTAGAAACCTTTTGTACACCTTTCCTTCAGCTTTCTAAAATTCATCAGAGCAAATCAACAGGATTTTTTGGATCGCTTTGTTAGAAACCACCAAAACACATTTTAAAAAAAATCAAGATTTTATCATTTGTGTATGCAAAGATATATACAAAATAAATTATATTGATAATATCTATTGGATATTCAATATAAACTCAGAATAATATTCGTAAAAGTTTCTCAAATATTGAGTCTCCTCAAGCATTCTTCTTCATTTTTTATGAGAGGTTTCAGCCTATCGGATACTAATGGCTCGACTGTCTGTGGCGCTATCTAACGTCTGGCTGAACGTAATCTTGTTGAAAGAGTTTTCACTTACTAAATATAAGGTCAGGACGAGATTTGTAAAATCTTTACAAATATCTGAGCCTCTCCTCCCTTTTTTTAGGGTAGGCTCAAGTCTCCCCAAGCCTAATGGCTCCGCCGCTTCTGACTTTACTGAATAATAAGTCATATTTTCCCAACTGCACCTTCCTGAAATTCTAAGATTATTGTTTCTTTATCATTTCAAAATCTTTCAAAAGTCAAGCAGACAATATAACAAAACTTTTAATGATAAATACAAAAATACTACGGCACCATAAACGTTTTCAATGCGTTGACTATTCCTCTGCATAAAAGAGTCGCTAGTAGTAATGTGTTAAACTGTTTCAAAAAAAATACAATCATATATGCCTGCGATCTAACATCAAAATGAATATTACTTTCAGAGAAAAACCAAACATCACTTTTTTCAAATCGCATTCTCTAGTCAATCACGAGATCACGATGAGATCTGTAAATTTTTTTCAAATATCTGAGCCTCCTCAGGCCTAAGGGCTCCGCCGCCTATGCACTTCGCTGTCGTATGGGTACGTACCAATGTAGCTTATCTAACTTATTGAATTTTCTTTTGAAGACAATAATATTGTACAGAGTAGAGGAATTAAAATTGAATTAAACAATCTGATTTATATTGGTGCATAGAAATGCCAATAAGATTGCTTCATTCAGTTTTAGTTCAGGCAGGTTGGTTGGTTATGTGTTAGATATTTTTTGATAAAATAGCAAGACATTTTAATAAGCTTAACTAGAAATGAAATGATAATAATCATTGCTTGACGTCGAAGAAAAATATTTTTTACATTTTGTTCGAATTTAATAAAAGTAATTCATATTTTGTACTTTAAAAAGTTCAATTAAAAATGAGAGAAACGAGTTTTTAAAATATAATCAACATATATCATCATATGTAATGTGTTTTTTTTTTTTGTGCACAGTTAATTTCATTGGATGGAGTATAATTCAAAGGTGTTTTTTCTTTGTTTTTTATTATACAAGGTTGTTATAAATGGTTACGCATCATTGATATAACATTTTCAATATTCCTATATAAATATATAGTATTTCTATATTGACAATCGAAAATTAAATATAATCAAGAAAATGAAAAATTTTCATTATGAAAGTTGTTCTTTTTTTTGTCAATTTCGCCAATAAATAATTTGTAATTGTATTTTAATTGAAAAGTGTTCGTTTTCAGAAAAACAACAAATGGCAAGTAGTTTGAACAAAACTCATCCTTGCTTTGAGATTTGTCATCAACGTCCAACAGCGAAGTATCAAGTATTTATATTTCCTGGAGCTGGTAGTCCAGGTATTTTTAATATATTTGAAAATCTGATTGAATCTTTGATATTATTTTAGGTTCAAATTATCGTGAATGGGGTATGAATTTTCCTGAATATGAATTTTTCTTAATAATTTATCCAGGAAGATTACATCGAATGAATGAAAAACTGTTAACTAGAATAAAAGAATATATTATTGAATTAAATAAAGGACTTTTACCCTATATAAATAAACCATGTATTTTTATTGGACATAGGTAGACATTTTCTTTTTCTTCTTACATTTATTTGAGTTATTTTGTTATTGATGTTTTACTTCAGTATCGGAAGTGTAATTAGTTTTTCATTAGCTCGAGAGATGATTGAAACAGAAAATAAAGGATATTTAATTAAATTATTAGTTGAAATGGGAAGAGGACCACCTCATTTACAAGGTTTGTCTTAATTAATGATAAATATTTATTTATTATTGATAACTATTTAGATCCTGATAAATCTTTTGTTCATATGACTGATGCAGAAATTGTTGAAGATTTAAAGAAAATGGCAGGTCAATTTCGATTTTTGTTTTTTTTTATTCTATCTTAAAAATGTTTTTTTTTTTTGTTTTTGAAAAGAATTTTCTTTTTTTTTATAGATCCAAAAACACGAGAAATTTATGATTTTCCACCTATTGTTCAAATGTTAATACCTATATTAAGAGCTGATGCACAGGTTTATTTAATTTAATTAATATTAATATTGAAAATATATCTCTAATATATTATTTAGGTTGGTGAAGAAATATTAGATTCAACTCCATTAAATATTCCAATTATTGTTTATGGTGGAGAACATGAAGAAAATGTTAAAGAATCATTATTAAATAGGTTCTAATAGATATTAGTTTTATTTAAAAAAAATAAATATATTTATATTTAGATGGAAAGAATTGACAACAATGAAAGATAAATTTCATGTTCGAATGTTTCCTGGACATCATCATTTTCAATTCGAATGTCAAGATGAAGTATTATTATGTCTTAAACAAGATTTCAATAATATTATTAATAAATAATATAGTTAATCAGTTTTTTTAAATAAAATTCTTTTCTAATAACAGTTTCAAATCTTTTTTTTTTATTTTTTCTTTTTTGTAATATTTAACTTCTTAACTATTTAAATTTGAATATTTGTTTCATTTTCATAAAAAAATAATAAGAAAGAAAAACGAGTTATTTTAATAAATGATCGAAATATTCAATATTGACATATAAATTTGTTTTATTTATTTATTTAAATTAAAATAAATCGATTTATGAACATAGAAATACATAGAGTATATGATCAATATTTTATTTATCTATCTAATAAAAGATGAATCAATCGAACTAAATGTTAATAAATAATATATTTAATAATCACAATTAAAAATAAAACAATTTGTGAAAAGTATCAATTTATATATAATCTAACGAGGAATTCTCATTATATCGATTAATATTCTAGTTTAACAATTGATAAATTGAAAATAAAAATTTAATCATAAAATATTTCCAAGAAAAAATTAATAAAAATAATTTTAATAATTAATCAATATAAATACTCTCATTATCTTCAAATTGAAAAACTATCTTTAATTAAGAAAATAAAAGTAAAATAATAATTATTAAATTTAATAATAATATAATAATCATTTTCTATTCAATTTTAATATTATTATTATTATATAAAACTATTATCAAATATAATAGTTAAAATTTTATTTTAATATAGAAATTATTCATCATAAAAATCATCTTTGATTTTTATTAGTTTATCAATTAGAACTAATTATATCATTAAGCGAAACAATATATTAACAATAATAAACTAATTATTTTAAATAATCAAATAATTTATTGATTAGAGAATACCAATTATGAAATATAATCTAATATATTACACAATATAAGAAGATAAATCATCATTCTCTAGTTCAATCTGTGATTCTATCATCATTAAACAAAAAAACAAGAACAAACAAAAAAAAAAGTTTATTATCGTTAGAATCGAATTATATTTCTAGATTATTGAACTATATTTATAAGAATATATATAGAAACAATAGTTTTTTCTTTTCAACCTTTATTATCATGAATTATATTTCCTTTTATTAAATAGTTACCATTTTCAATCATTTTAACTTTTTTAAATATTTTCATTGAAGAGCCCGTCAATACATATATGAAAAACATTTGCTAACATCTATAATAAAAATTTCAGTTTAATTGAACAAATTTCAAATAAATTTTGTTCAGATAAACTTTTTAATTGTACAAGTAATTTAACAATATCACATACTATACAATAAGATCGATAGATTTTCTAATAACAAAAAAAAAACTAGAAAATAGAATATGATCAATTTGAATTTGAATTTGAATTTGTTGCTTTATTAATAATCTTCAAATATGGTTGAAGATATAGAAAGACTTTTACATCGATAACTAATCGATAATGTGTATCAAACCAATAAAATTCTATTATTAATCTCACTTTAAAACAATGAATTTCTATCATTATTATCAGTAAAGTAAAGTCGAGTACTTTTTTTCTCTTTCAATAACAGAATAATACAAACAAGAAAAGATCAATATCCAACATACCTATAAAATATAATAATATTATTATTCGAAAACTTAACAACGACAATATTCTATAATCAATCAATATAATTAATATATTAAGTTTATCATTAGTTGTTTTATTCGATCAAATGAAAATTGTTAATATACTAGATTTTTTGTTTCTATATAAGTATTTTATAGAAAGTGAAATACGTACGAACAATATACTAGGATTTACTTCCTACAACGATTATACTTCACCATATAAAACACGATATATCATTATAAAAACAAAAATAAGTAAATGATCACTTATCTACGTTAATATCTCTAACCTAATAGTTATAAATCATAATAATTATACTCTTATTACTATACAATACAATACAATATTATAATAAATGAATTCTCATAAGGTTATTGGTATGTGTCTGACACCTTTATCATATATTAAGTTGATGCAGAATTGAACAATGTATTTGAAGAAATAGTAACGTACCATGCGCTATTTGAATCAATGCATTATTTTTCATACTTAAAATTAGTCTAAATCGATGATGATAATGATTATCTATGAATAAATGCGATATAAAAAGAGAATAAATTGATGAAGTGTTGACATATGTTTAATATGATATATATTTATAGTATATTTATAATCTTAATCAATCGTCATATCTTCCGATTATCATTAGAAATTATTTTTCATCGTCATTGTTTACAATAACTATAGAAGACTGAAATCTTTCTTATTAATAATTCATTTAGGATTTATTATTATTTCCAATGAACACTTTATAATCATATATATTTTTTTAACTGGAATATCGTTTATTTCTTGTAAGCTGTTAGACTTAATATTATGCTTAGAGATAAATATATTAGTTTACACGATTTTTGAGAGTTTAACTTTAAATAAAAGATTTATCATTTACGACTTAAAAAACTCGAAAACATAAAAGAAAGTTCGAAGTCAAAATCGAATGATTGGTTTTCTGTGGTGAGTCTGTTCTGTTTATGATTATCATTGATTCCGTCCATAACAACAAAAATTCGATTTCTGACTCATTTTTATCTGAAATTTATATTAACAAGGGTCATATTTAACTTCTCTTAATAAATAAATAAATCAAATATAAAACATAACTGAATTGTTAAAAGTTCAATTCAAATAAATGATTAAAGTAGATCGGCACTTTTTTTCGATAATTAGTTTTCGAGAAATTTTTCTCTTTTATATTATTCGAAAAAACAACAAACAACAAAATCTAAGGATAATATGTAAATGTCAATTGAGTATGAAAAACAACATTTTTTAATATATCTAGTTGTTATATATTATTGGGGCATATATTAATGTAAAACTAATAATAGAATAGTAATTCATTGTTTAGTTTTCTGACATGTTTTTATCTTTGAATAGATTTTTTACAATAAACAAAGATTGATAGATTAATTTAAGTCAAATATGACAATGGTTAAAAGAAGAAAAAAAACCAGGTTATCAAGTACAAAATGATATTATCACCAAACTAAAGAAAATTGTGTTGGTGTACCGACGTTAACAATTTATAGTATTTTATTCTCCTCAATATTTCTCAATAGGAAGAAAGATAAGGAGGGAAATGAGTACAATAAACAATAGTATATAAACGATGAATTAATCATTCTTTAATAAAAAGTATATTGGTTATTGATTCCTCTTTTTGTTATCAAATGTCATATTACAAGAGTAAATATATTCAAGTTAAGAATTATTCAAATAAATTATATTTGGATGAACCATCTACAAAAAAAGAATTATATGCTGATGAATCATTTGGTTTTGGTTCAATGCAAGGATGGAGAAAATCCAATGAAGATTGTCATAAAGATTTAATGCCATTAGATAATTATTTATGGAATAATTGGGCTTTTTTTTCAATATTTGATGGTCATAATGGGATTGAAACAGCAATAAATGCTGCTCATCTTCTTCATAAATTTATTTTGAAATCTTTTTATGAAAATCAATATGATATTGATACTGATACGGATACTGATCAATTTAATAATATTATTATAAATACTTTTATTCAATTGGATAAGAATTTACGCGACATAGTTAAAGATGATAGTGGTTCTGTTTGTGTAAGTTTCTTCATTAACTAAAACAAAAAAAACAAACAAATAATATATTTTTTAATTAAATATATATATAGATAACTGCGTTAATTAGTCCAAAAAAAATATATTTAATTAATGTTGGAGATTCTCGTGGAATAATAATATCAAAGGATGGAGAAGTTTTAGCATCTACAAAAGGTTATTATTTAATTATAATTGTTATTAAATAATAATTTGTTTTTTGTTTGTTTGTGTTCTAGATCATAAACCAAATGTTCGAAAAGAAGAAGAACGTATTCTTAGAGCAGGAGGTAAAATAACAAAAAGTGTTAATGATGTATTACGTGTTGAAAATCGACTTGCTATGAGTCGATCATTAGGAGATTATTCATTAGATAAAGATATTATATTATCTATACCTGATATAATTGAATATCCAAGAAATTCATTATCATCATATATTATTATTGCTTCTGATGGTATTTGGGATGTTATGAATAATGAACAAGTTGCTTCATTTGTTTCTCAACGTGCATCAAATATAACATTTGATTATATTATATCACAATTATTTGATCAATGTTTAATAAATCAATCTTCGGATAATATGACTGTTTATATTATTAAAATAGATTAACACTATTTATATTATTCGATTATTATCAATAGATTTTATTGTTTTTTGTTTTTAACAAACAAAACAATGTTTTTTTCAATAAGAATTTATTCTTTCTAAATAGTATTGAAAAAGTTGAAATATATATATATATATATACATCATTAAAATTGATAAGATTAGAAAAATAAACTCTCAATTATATAATTTAATATATATTTTCTTGAATAATCAATCAATAAGTTATTTATTAAATAATATTCAACTAAAATGAACCAATATCGATATAAGATAAAAATGTCTTTTATTTATTATTATAGAAGATTTTTTTTCTCTTAGAAAAATAATATTATTCATACAAATAGAAATAGAAATAGAAATTGAATTTAATATTTATCAAATTTATTAGTTTTAGTTTTTTGTTTAAATAAAAAACAAAAAAAAAGAATTTTCCTAAGAAGACGAACGAATAAAAAAATGTCAATGTTTTCACACTATTTTTCAATGAAAATGACTGACATATATATAAATAAAATTTGTCCATTTTAAATAGATTAATCAGTAAGACTCTTCAAACGAATATTTGTCAGAAATTCATCTCTTTTTTCTTACTGAAATTAGTTTTAAGAAACAGTAGAATTATCAATATTTGAAGTGATTTATAGCAATAAATTTTTTAAAAGTCTCAATAATATACTATAGATTTATTCATCTATCTGTCAAAGATAATTAGTCTTTGTTTTTTTTTTACTCTATAACTTAACAATCGAATTGATATATTTATGCTTTATATATTAGATAAATTATTTTCATGTAATTATTATCAAACTAATTAAAAATATTATTTACATGATCATGCTAATTAATACCATGAATTAAAAGTCTCATCAAAATCGACAACAAAAAAACTAGCTCAATATATATACCCCTGGAAAGTAAAAGCTGGACATGATATTTCGAATCTATTGACGTTTGAGAAGGACATTTTGGAAAACTTAATTATACCATTTGATAGCCCTTGGAATTCTCTATCACCCTGTCTATTTTTGTCTTCGTTTACAGTTAAACATTACCAAAATAAATTGAGTGCAATGAAGATACCCTTATGTCCAGATTCTCACAGATTGGATTTTGTCTCCTCAACTAGTTCTCCAGCTATAGAAATACATTTCCAAAAAAGTAATTATATATTCTGATAGAGCTTGAAATTCTCTATCAGCCCATATATTTATCTATTGCCTTATATTTGTTTGCTGAAAAATAATTTGAATACAATGAACGCCTCCTCAATTGACAAGTATACAAAATCCGCATTTTTTCGTTGTTTTTTTAGTTTCTTTCGCAAATTATTTTCGTATAGGAATAACTTTTTCCAAAAAAAAATTTTACATTCTGATAGAGCTTGAAATTCTCTATCATCCTATATATTAATATATTAGCTTGAATTTAAGTAGCGAGAAAAACTGCAGATTTTTCATACTTGTCGATTGAGGGACCGTTCATTCTATTTAAATTATTTTTCAATAAACAAATATAAGGCAATAGATAAATATATGGGCTGATAGAGAATTTCAAGCTCTATCAGAATGTATAATTACTTTTAAAAAAGATAACACCATAGTGATAAAAAAATCTGAAAGACTAATTTTGATGGTAGAGAAAAAATCCAGTCTGTGAGAATCTGAACATAAGGGTACCTTCATTGCACTCAATTTATTTTGGTAATGTTTAACTGTAAACGAAGACAAAAATAGACAGGGTGATAGAGAATTCCAAGGGCTATCAAACAGTATAATTAAGTTTTCCAAAATGTCCTTCTCGAGCGTCAATAGATTCGAAATACCATGTCCAGCTTTTACTTTCCAGGGGTATATATATATGAAATATAGAACTGATTAATATAAAAAAGGGGAATTTATTTTTAGAAAAGATTTATTATGCAGACGTCAACCTAATAAGATAAATACCTGTTGAGTTGTCAAATAGCTAATTGATATTATTTGATATAGATGACAAAACGATTTATGTGCGTATGCGTTCGTTTGAAACAGCGCTGGAACCAGTTCGGTCGTCCAGTACGGGACCGGTTTGGAAAATCTACTGACCCAGAAATTCACCGGTTGAAAATTAAAAATAACTATCTTCATTTTCTCTGTTTTTTTGTAAAAAAACAAATGTTATTTTTGGTTTTATTTCATCAAGTATGAAGTTGATGAAATGGTTTCCCATCGATATACAGTATATATATAGGTATATCTTAATACCATTATTATTAACATTGAAATAAAATTGACTATTTTTTTTTTCAATATGATTGTCTATTGTTATATATATCATCTTTGGTTTATAGTTTTTATTCTGTCATTTTGTTTTAATGATCAATGATGAAAAGATGATATGATAATAAAACATGCACAATCATAACATATACTAGAAAAGCGGAGTACTGAAAACTAATTTTCCATTTTGTATATCCTTTTAAGTCGATAAATGTGCCAATAAACAATAGACACTATCACGCAAAAACTGCATCATACTCTTGAGATCTTATTCACAAAATAAAAATGTTCCATAACTCGCAAACATTAGGCATATATTTTCTCGAATCTGACTTCAATTTTTAATTATACTTGGTCAAGAATTGAAATTCTTCAAACTATATTTCTAAATAGTTTTCTTAGGATTCAATGAGAAAAGTTTAAATCGTAATCTGTCTCAATCTATGCTGTGAAGAGTAGAATTTGACTTCATCGTTTCTCCACGTGTTTTCCAGTATCTGGGACAATTTTGACGCAGTCAGTTATACGGTATACCGCCCGGTTCAAGAGCATTCTGTAACCGGTTTTTCGATTTCTTATCGGTTTCAGCTCTGGTTTTAACTCGATGCTCAAGACTCATCATTGTATATGAAAGATAGACAATTTTTTATTGAATATGTTCATGATCTAGACATGATTCGAACTTGTTTATTCAAGAGAAAATGAGTTGTCAACAAATAGCTGAAAGTATTTATGAGTAAATCATCGAAACAACAAATCATCATATTAAAAATGAGAGTTATCCAATAAAATGCTCATTTTTATATCCTATCATATCGTAGACCATGAAATTTTTAAGAAGATTGAATTAATTGAAAAAACTATCTTTGAATTATTCAAAACTATTATTAATTTTTCTCCATATTTCGACATTATTGATTTCAATACTTTTTTCTTTCAAATTCTTATTCTAATAGTTTGAAAGTAACGGTGAAACGATGCAGAATTATTCTGCGTAATATTCTAAATAACATAGATCTATTTCTATATTGATGCGTCAAAATCATTCTCTTAGCATATATTATATTAACTGTTCTGTTATTATATAGAAGAATAATATTCTGTAAAATGGATTTTCTTTGTTTTTAATTCAAATCTATTAAATATAATGAAATAATTCTATTAATTAGAATTGTTGTTAAAATTAGTGAAGAATAAATTGAAGTTGATTAAGTTAATATTAGAATAATAATTAATATGGAATGTTAATCAATAAATATAAATAAGAACTCGTATGTTAACTAACTTAGATCAATATAGCTAGAAACAGAATATATATACACTCTTAAATATATTTTAAAATTTGTCATTAAAACATGTTTATATAGAATATGTCAAGGGAAATTTTTTGCAAAAAAACAAAAAAAAAGCGTTCTACTCAATATTAACTGTAAGAAAATAAAAATTATTTAAAGACGTTAATATCAAATATATGTGTGTGTGTGTGTGTTTCGAGTATATTATAGATAATAATATCGTATTTATTCTATTGGATTGTGTTTTTTGCTGAAGATAAATAAATCTAAACAATCATAATCAAACAATATTTATTTGTCAATCAGATTTTTTTCTTGTTTATATTTGTATATAATTAACGTACTTTTAACCAAAAATGAAGATGATCTTAAAATATCTCGAAATGAGTATTTAACTTCTATAAAAAAAAACAAAAAAACCCAGTATATATTTGATCAAATGAACGTTAATAATTAAATATAATATTAATTTATATTATTTTTATGATAAGTTAGACTAATAACTAGTTATGATTATATTAGTCTGATCATAAAGATCTTTTTGATTTAATTTAAAATATAAATTAATTTGAAAAACTAAATGAATTCGTCGAATGAGTCTGTCTTATTTATTTTCTAGAATTATAGAAAAAAAACCATAAAATTTTATCGCATAAATGATAAAAAGTCGATTTGATAATTTGTTAAAAAAAAACAAAGAAGATATTAATAAATATTATTGTTAATTAATTCAATAGAATAAATCTTATTTATTATTTTATTTAAATAAATTATTTGTTGTTAAATATATTTATTTGATATGACCATTTACATTGATATTATTGAGCATATTTTTAAAAATAAAATCATATCAGATTGACTATTTTGATCATCTAAATGATAATTGCATAATTAAATCATTGGAATTTAGTCAATTTGATTGTGTCTGTCTGTGTGTTGTGTGTGTGTATCTCTGATATAACGGGTGGACCGAAAGTTTTGAGACAAAATGTTTGTCCATTTTTCACCGCCTCAAAACTTTTTTAGAAGGATGCAAAAAGGTGGACAAGAATCAGAATTTAATGCTCTTTCCGAATATGAGTTGAGAAATTCTGTGCCTATTTTTATTTGGAAGCAATGAGGAAATCATTGAATTGCTTTGAAAGTTAGTTTGAACAAAAATATGTTTTGTACATTTTTGAATTTTTACTGTTCTAATTCGAAACTTAATGTTGTAATTTTGGTTCATATATCAGATTGTAGAGCAAATTCTGCCCTACAAAATGCACTATTTCAGTTTCTTTTTATTTTCTTACAAATCATCTAAATTTTCGTTTCCTTACTACTCTCGTCTTTGAAAAATCCATCTCATGTAAACATAGATTCTCAGAAAATGTCTATAATTTTACTTGTATAAAATCTATATTGGAGTTCGACATCTCATTTTGTCGAGGACTATCTGCTCTAC